GGAAGACCACCCACATTACCATGAAGTCGACATGTCTGCTCCTCTTGGCTTCTCTCGTGGTCTGCAACATGACTGTGTGTGGAGGACAGGGCTTCCCCGCTGAGGAGGAGACAGACGGCAGGACCATAGACGACATCATACTACAGAGAGCAGAGAGTCTCCTGTTACGGTCCATTCTCAGGAAGATGCAGGATGAATACGGCAGAAACGGTGCGTAACATGGATTTGTGTTGGATCAATGTTCCAGGCATAGATATATTTGGTGTAAAAGAGTGCCAATAAGTATCTAAAATGTTGGATATTCCAATTTTAAAACGATATTAAATTCAATTTACCAATACTATGGCATTGAAATCTGGGCTATTTGCCTTGTGTTTAAATTGGAAGGCTCTAACTGATGGCAACATCTTCTATGCAGTTTTATGTACTTTTTGTTTTTAATGTAGATACAATTGTATCATTTTGAAGAAAGAATGTTTGTTAACGTGTTTTAAATTGTTAAAATTGGTTAAGAATCTAGTTTCAATGTATTAGTTTGCAAGGAATGTGGACCAAGGCTACACTCATTGGTGCGTAATTTACGCACGGTCTATAAAAAGGCTTCGAAACACTTTTTAGCAGTTAGGAAAACTTAAATTAGACTTTGATCTCCTTTAATTAATCTAAATGTTTTCCCTTTTCCAGAAGGGTCTTCTTCTCATACAGAATGGGTGACAAAACGACAACATCCCGGTAAGAGGTACATCGAGGATTTGGAGAAGCGGCAGCATCCGGGGAGGAGAGAAGAAGATGAGGATGAACAGTACGTGGATGTTCAAAAGAGACAGCATCCGGGCAAACGCGAAGATGAAATGCACTCTTTCATGGAGCTCCAGAAAAGGCAGCACCCGGGGAAGCGCGTCACGATGGAACACGTTTCTGAAAACCCCATTGTGCTCCTGAGTGAACTTTCAAAACGGCAACACCCGGGGAAGCGCTACCTGGTGCTGCACAACAAACGCCAGCACCCAGGTAAGCGCAACTTCGAGGATGAGGAGGACGATTGGGACTGGGACGCGGATTCAGATGGAGACGAAGAGTTCGCCGAGTTAGAAAAGCGTCAGCACCCAGGGAAACGGTTTTTGGATAACTCCAGCCCGGATTTAGGCACGAACAGTCCCTGTGATGTATTGGACCCTACGAGCTGCAGCAAGACCAATCTGCTGATCGACCTTTTAGACAACATCAACAAGAACCATGCCGAGGAGAAGAGACAACACCCGGGCAAAAGGTTTGCACCCGAGGAGGATTTAGTGGAAGCAAAGTAGGTTAAACACTGGTCTGGTGCGCGTGTACTGCTGTATTGTAAACAAATAAATGTGTAAATGAAGTGACCATAAATAATTATGAAAAATGAAAAAATATGTTGTGCTACCGTTTTTCTTTGGGCGACAGCATACTGTATCATCGTTGCAAAACATCTCTGCTGTTTTTTTTGGGAGGGCGAAATTGTCTTTATATATCTAAATATCGCTGATTATGGTTTTCATTAGAGTACGTGCCATAACTTAAACTTTATTAAGGAATTATTATTATTATTAGAAATATTAACTCTTTATTGTATCAATTAGTCAATTATGCTAAAACGAAGTCCAAGAATGACACCTTCAGTCTCCTGGCTTTGGCGATGTTGCCTCTGTGAGGAAACACACGCTTGTCAGTGCATCCTGAAATATGATCTAAGTGTGTTTACGGCTTTGCAGAGGACATCCCTTGATTGGTTGATTTATGTTTATTTATTTTATACTTCTGTATAATATAATGATTACCACCGCAACTATAAAGTGTCACTGATTATTTTTCTACATATAAATTGCATGGATTAAGTTTATTTAACCTATTGTTGTAAATTCAAAGTTATACCTTTGCCTTAAAGTCAAACCACCAATGTTTTTGTTGGACAATAAAACGCATTGGTAAAAATGTATGGCTGAAGTTGCAGTAATTCCTGCCTCAAGTGCACTATTAAAGTATTTTAAATGTTTCAACCCAACAGGTCTAAGTGTATAGTCCAACAAGGCAGACACTGTCCCTTAGCTTGATCTAATGGTTCATGCAATTCAACTGCACACAGAGCGATATCCTCTTCTCACTTTAATTGGGCTCATTCCATCACAGCAGCTGCCTACACAGGCCTGATCAATATGCAAATTGTTTCCTCAATTACATGCATGGACACTTTATGGGAGAGGAGCTCCACTAAATGGCACACACAACATTCAAATCCAGCAGTAACGTTTCAGTGGAATGATAAACCATTAAAAGATGCACACAAATAATTTCAGCGTAATAAGGGAGAGCTGAATCCATCTGGTTCTTCTGAGCACACATAAAGCACTTTCTTGTTACGATGCAATACAGCTGAATGTATCACAGGCAGATCTAACAAGTTTTACAATGACTGGGAGCAAAGGGTTTTGACTCTGTTATAAAGCAACCAGATATAAACACAATGTGGTGACCTCTAAAGCTTGTATGGTTGGGCACCACTAAACACTATTCAATCAAACCCTCACCAAATCGTACTATATGAAACTGTCTTTATATATATATAACTAATATATTATTATATTATATAAATTAATTATTTTTAGTCAACATGAAATGCCTCAAGGACAGGATGCAATGGGCAAATTATACTATATTATTCAGTTAGGTCCTTTGTAGCTTTGGCATTGATTTTATGTTAAGGTGTGTAAACTCTCTAAAAGGTTAATATATTATCTGTGAATGTGGAACACACACACACACACACACACACACACACACACACACACACACACACAGTCTTTAGTTTAGCGTTTTTGTTTACAATTTGGGTTTTTCGAGCCTTAAAAATTAGGCAAAGTCCATTTGTGACAGCTCATCACAGGTTATTTTTATAGATGTGATATTTCCTTTTAAATTGGGGTCATATAAGTTTGAAGAAGTAATTTGAAGTTGTGTAGTCATGAAGGTAAAACTACCCAGGACTTTACAATACAAAATCAAAAATCAGAATAACATCTTAAACATTATTTTACGTAGGCCTAACAGAAATACTTTTTCATTATACATTCAATCATTAGATTTTTGTTCCTGACCCCAAAGATTGAGAACGGCTGAGTCAGTCCAACCAATTATAAAGTCTATTGACTAATTGGCCTCAGGGAATAATTGAGCTTTGACTTCATGAACATGGCATTTTGTTTTATCGCAAATTGAGCCGAAGGCTAAAACAATACAACGTTTATAAAACTATAAATTGAAGGTGAATTGGCTAGTTAAAGGTCCAAATGTTGCACAATGCCGCAGGCTATAGGTTATAATGCAAGATTCCATATAAATGCTCTTATCACTTCAGTTAATTTTAATGCAAATTCCTGAACAACTTATTAATTAATAAAATCCAACTCAACTGACACAGTTTCCTTGGGACCCATTGCACACCAACATAATGAACTCAAAGGTAGGGTATGTAATTCACTTCAGAAACAGTTTTTGATATATTCCATGGAAAGTTATGAGGCCCTCTGTGTCGCTAGCGTCGACGGGGGACGGCGTGAGGCTTCCTCCGCGAGGTGAGGCCCATACAGTCTACGGTCAGGCCCCACGCAGTCTGTCTGCGTGATCTGCGTATAGGGAGGGGCGGCCCTGCACATATTTCATCTGTGGAATCCGTGGCGCTGTAAAAAGCATGTCCAATTATCTGCCCCTGCCCGCGGCAGATAATTGGATGGCCTACCTGCCTGTCAGCCTTCCATCTCGTGCCCTCATTGGTCATGTGTGTGTTGGAGTCGGGGCTCTGTAAGGAAGGGGCAGATTTGTTTCGGTTGTGTACTTTCAAATTCTAGCTTACTCGAGCTGGTTTCTCCATTCTTACGTATACCCATACCTTTAAAGTTATGGGTATACGTACTTTAAAGTTTAAAGAGAGCAACATCATTAGTCAGGACAAACTTCATGCAGCATTAACTGCCCATGACAGGAAAACAAAGCAGAATCAAACACATAATAAAGCACGAAGCACAATGACACAAAGTTAAATTATACACTTAGGTTACATTGTTGTGATAATAGTTCTGACGGTGGCGTCCATAGCAGGTGAGCAAACGTGTTCCTGCATAAACCATGAGAGTTTCCGATTGGGGTGATAATGACAGCAATTAAACATGGAGATGGAGGGAAGTGGAGTCCAATCAAGGAGAGTAATGGGTTGAAAGATTCTTAAGCCTGAAATCACGAAAATATTCAATATATTAGCAGATTCCCGGTAACGTGTTAAATGCTTGGAGGAAGCACAGAGAGGTGCTGCACGTGTGGAGAGGCTCATATCGCCGCCTAGAGGCGAGGTGAGGTATTGAAACAGGAAGTTTACATCAGTGCGGGGGACTTGAGGGGTAATTTAACCTTTATCTTGTCCAAAAAGTGCAAGTTAAATATATTTTTAGTTAGGTATTTTTGTTTTGTTTTTGCAAGCAATGTAAACAAGAGGGCAATTATTGAAATGATTGAGTTTTTTTGCTGACATGTGACTTAGGCCTATGTGTTTTTATATAAGAATGTGTTGTAAATTCGCACATATTCGCATTGATCTAGTAATTAACTACAATTTATATGTAGCTTTATCAGAATCAGAATACCTGACTTTTTAATTGATAAAGCAAAAGTTAAGATGGAGACAAAAAATAAAACACTATGAGATAAAATAAAAGTACATGCACAAAAAATATAAAGAAATAGAATAGAAACCATTTAAAAGTTATTCAAAGTAAACCAACCATAAATTATCCCTAGAGTAGCTTTAGTGTTAATTCTTCCAGTGTGAAGTTATTGGAAGCTTGCAAATCCATACTTTTTCAAGTAACTTCCCCAACACTTCTCTTTAAATGTATTCTGAAGACTGTCCTTGAATCTGCATTATGGAAATACATTGTTTTGTGTCTATTGTCCGGTTTGTCCCTCTTCGCTTGCCTTACCAACTGAACGCTAATCACATGACCAGGCAGGGCTGCTGCTGCTGCAGCTGGTGTTGTCGAGCTGTCACAGAGAAACTGTCAAACACACACTTATTGGATTCATTTGTAAGTATAACTGATCCACCGTGTTACAAATATTCTTCGATTATTTGTTTTTTCTAAGTTGTCAGTTATTTATGTCCGTGTTATGAACAATGAGATCAAATAAATAATGGCTAAAGAAAGCGAGAGCTGCTGTTAGCATCTTGGAGCTAACGTTACAATCGGTGGTCAGTATAACGGTGTTACAAATATGAAACTACAGGCTACACCTTAAGCCTTTATACAGTTAATATGTACATTTCACAAGCTGGATAAAATAGTGCTCGCTTGCTGTCAAAAAAGCAAATAACGTGACTTATTGTCTAAGTTATCTAGGTTAGTCTTTCAATGGGTGGGTCAGGTGTTTAAACTGGCTAATATTACACGTTAATATTAAAAATAAAGCGTTAACATTGCATTTAAGTCAAACATCTGTAACGTTAAGTCATTGTAATGGTAGTCAAATGTGTGATGTGTAAGATTTGGGCAACTTATAAAACTGTCAGCAGTAACGTTAGCTTGTTAGCATAGCTTTCTGTAGAGGACCAGAGCGGGCTGAACATGTAAACCTTTGTTACTCATGAGAACTATATTACATGATAACTAACCTCCATTTCTACAGGTAAAACAACCGCAATTTGATTGCATTTTTAAAAGAGTACGACGTAATACAGATCTGCTTCAAATACCCTGTAATAAAGTGTGTCTGCTAGATATGGCTGTTTATTGACACACTTGCATCTCATGTTTCATCACGTCACATTATAAAGTTTACATAAATGACCAGATTAGTGGTTGAAATGTACATGTTAACCATAATACATGTTTTCAAATCTGTGTTAGATTTTTGGGCATGTTTAGTAAATACTTTGATCCCCCTAAGTATCTGGAATATCATATTTGGATTTTGTTAAATATGAATAGCCTCAATCTGATCTGCCCCATTCTCAGTGTCCCAAGATTTTCTCTGGCGTGATGGAGTCATTATGGGGTGGATTGCACACCCCGTGAAATGTGGACCAAAGCAAGAATCTCCCAACCGGCATCTCTTTTCCCAAAACACATCCTGCCGCTGTCATGGCCTCCAGTTATCCACCCCCCTTTGAAGGAACAGGTGAAGTGAAGGAGGGTTTTCTCTGCCCACTTTGCCTGAAGGACCTTCAGTCATTCTACCAACTCCAAGCCCACTTTGAAGAGGAGCACTCTGGGGATGACCGCGATGTGAGGGGACAGATCAAAAGTGAGTCCCATTGATTGTTATTGAAGATTCTGCTCACTGCCACAAAGCCATTTGAGTCTTATCAAGTTGTGCTAAACAGGGTCTTAAGAAACAGTTAAATACTTAGTGCTGAATAGTTAAGCAAAAAGACAGTACTGTCTTCTTAAAAAGCAGCATAAGGAGTATGGTTTGAATTTGATAAAAGGCACTGCAGTGTTTGACTGGGGGAGATTGTTGCCAGGATGAATTGGCAACATATTCTGCTGCAGGGAGGGACAGTAGATTAAAGCGGAAAATTGTGAAATCTAGAGAGGAAGAATCTCAGTTGGAAACAGAGGCATGCTCGGAGTTTAGTTCTCTGATTTATAGCAGCTATTTGGATGAAGTTAAAACCAATATATATGGGTATTTGGTGTAACAGTGGAATGATTTTTATTTGTGAACAGGTTTGGTTCAGAAGGCAAAAAAGGCCAAAGACAAGCTGTTGAAACGGGATGGAGATGACAGACCGGATACAGGCAGTTATGAGTCATTCTACTATGGAGGAGTGGACCCCTACATGTGGGAGCCTCAGGAACTGGGTGAGAATATAAAACTGGGCAAAAGAAAATCTCCACTCCTTTTTAAATGTTCCTTTTTTTCATACCATTTGAACATAATAAAAGAATGATTAATAACGCCTGAAAGCTGCAACCACTTGCTGAACTCTTACGGTTTCCTTTCTCTTTGTTTTGTAGGAGCGACCAGAAGTCACCTTGACTTCTTTAAAAAACACCGGGCAGCCAGGATAGATCATTATGTCATTGAGGTCAACAAGCTCATCATTAGACTGGAAAAGGTATGTTTACAAAGCATCGGAACTCATTCACACCATAAATATTTTCCTGTTATTAATATTACACTCTAGGTGTTACTGAGAAAACTAATTTGCAATACAATATTGTTGTTTCAGTTAACATCGTTTGACAGGATGAACTCTGATATCGCCAAAATCAGAGGTTTGTTCACATGTTTCTATTACAACTATGAATCCTATGAGTTTGTTGATATAAATGATTTAATATTATAAATTATTAAGCGTTCATCCTGCTTTACAGCTATTGAGAAGTCAGTGGTGTCATGGGTGAATGACTCGGATGTCCCGTTCTGTCCTGACTGTGGAAACAAGTTCAACATCCGGAACAGGCGGCACCACTGCCGTCTCTGTGGGTCCATCATGTGCAGGAAGTGCATGGACTTCATCCTTTTACCTATGGCTCGTACGTATGAGCAAATCTCTGCAAAAAAATCAATATTAAAGTAAAGTTACACCATGTGTGTCTCCATGCTGTGACAAGTTTGCCTTTCATCTGTGCACAGAAAAGCTGATCAGCGGGACTCGAGTTAACCTCGGTGTACTTGGAAGCCCCGTTCATTCCCATTCTCCCCAAGTAGGGGGGGGGAACAGTGGGATGGGCTCCAGGAGAGGCAGCATCAGCAGCCTGAGCAGCGTCACCTCCATGCTGGAGGAGAAGGACGACGAGAAGATCCGCTGCTGTCACCACTGCATGGACACGCTGCTGAAGAGACAGCAGAAGCTGGAAGAGAGGGACCACATGCCGGATGTTGTGAAACTTTATGAGGTTTGGCACATCAAGCGATATTAAAGTTAAAATAAGAACAAACTCTAAATATGTCTATTTTTCTGTCCCCACAAGTCTGTTTACTTTTCACGCGGTCTTGAGTTTACACTGCTGTATCCTTCCCGTCATTCAGTGTTTGGCTTTTGGGGTTTCCTGTTGTTCACTTGCTCTCTACTTGTCTTCCTGCAGAGGCTGAGGATGTGCATGGAGAAAGTGGATGAAAAGGCTCCAGAATACATAAGAATGGCAGAGTCGCTCAAGTAAGCTCCAGTTAAAAAGTCATTTAGTTAGCAGGTGAGAAGTAATCTTTGATACTGGAGACTTCTTGCTTACTGTCATGGCTGTTTGCTTTCACAGTGCCGGAGAAACTACATATAATCTTGACACGGCTGGTGGACTGAGACTGGAAGTGCAGAAATACTACGAACTAATCGATGCCCTAAGGTAGCTGTCAATCTATCGAATAACAAAACTGAACAAAAGTCTTCTTCATTCATATTGTTAAATATGGAGTTCTTTGTTTTCTTCTCAGTAAGAAGATTTTAACACTAGGAGCAAAAGATGATCCACCACCGCGTCCAAAGTCCCTCCAGCTGCAGAAGATGATCAGATACACAGCAACACTATTTGTTCAGGTAATATTCAGGCTACATCCCTAAGTTGGGTTGTACTGGGGTTTCCCATGAATCACTCACTACATTAATACAGTACTCCTGCTACATATGTCTTTCCAATGTACCTCTCCTTTCCCTAAATTCTGCCCTTCTTCTTGTCCTCCTTGTTTTAGGAGAAGCTGTTAGGTCTCATGTCTTTACCCACTAAAGCAAAATATGAAGAGCTGAAAGAAAAGAGGAAACAGGAGCAAGAGAAGAGACTCCAACAAGAGAGACTGGTGAGACTGTGTTCTCCTCCCACTCATTCTTCATCTTCCTTCATAACAAATGTTTAACCCTATATTTCCCTGCTCAACAGGTCAGCCAGGAGACCCTGAAGAAGAGGCAGGAGTCTGAGAAGAACCGTCCAACCCCCAGTACCAACGGAGAGCAGCCGCAAGCCCCTAGAGCCCCACGCATGACCAAAGCTGGCGGCTGGTTGCCCTCCGCAGACTCCGTCCATACCCGCAGTGAGCTGGAGGACCCCCTGCTGCAGCAGATTGAAAACATACGGTCGTTCATTCGCCAGGCGCGGGAGGCCAACAGAACAGACGAGGTGGCCATGTTGGAGGAGAACCTGCGTCAGCTGCAGGACGAATACGACCTGCAACAGACCAGCCTGGCCATCGCACTCTCCCAGAAGATGGCCGAGGAGGAGAGCTTGCAGCAGGGGGAGCTGGACCGCCTGGAAGCGTGGGAAAGGGACGAGAGGGAGCACTGGGGCCCCACGGTGGGCCCCACCCAGCCCTCCTTCACTTGGGAGAGGTCTCTGAATATCAGTACGCCAACGGGCTTCCAAGGAAACCCTGAGACAGAGGAGCTGACTCCCAAAGCTGAGAGTCCGTCCTCTGTCAGAGCGTTCCCTGCTCTCACGAGCCAGGAGGAGTCACCCCCTCGGTTGAGAAGCTTAGGGGGGCATGTGACCCCCCCGGGTGGTGAAGGACAGATCAACACCCCCCTCAACCCTTTCGATGAAGAGTCTACCCCCACTGAGGAGGATCCATCCAACCCCTTCTTCGAGGAAATAAAGAGAGAACACAAAGAGGTGAGCAACGGGAAGAAAGAATACAACCCGTTCGATGAAGATGAAGAGGTGGAGGAAGACCAACAGGCCGAGTCGGCACCAGGCAACCCCTTCGAGGAGGACGGCACTACCGACACAGGCAACCCTTTCTTGGAGGCGTCCGGGAGCTCTCCAGAGGTCTCCACCAACCCCACCAACCCCTTCGAAGGGGACGATGATGAGGCTTTGCCCGACGTGGACATGATAGAGGAAGAGTTGCTCCTGCAGCAGATTGACAACATCAGGGCCTACATTTTTGACGCCAAGCTCAGCGGGCGTCTCGATGAAGTGGAGCTCCTGTCAGAGAACCTCAGAGAGCTACAGCACACCCTTACAGAACAAAAAAAAAAGAAGCACTGATACCTTTCACAACAAAAAACAAGTTTACCCACCTGCTACTTACCAAGTCCTGCGAGGCTAGCTCACTTTACATGATGACTAATGAGCCCACTGATTTTAGTCTGGGTGAGGTCTGCTGAACCACAAAAAGATGAGTCACTAAATGAAATGTGTACTAGAGCGTGGTAGTCTGGATTGATTTCCTTAATTTCCAACATCTTTCTTAACCACTTATCCTGTACAGGGTCACAGGGGGCTGGAGCCTATCCCAGCATGCACCGTTTGTAAGCACTGCAACTAAACATCTATTTGTACAGGCATGTTGTGAAGATATTAACCCTGTAGTATCAGGGACAACATGAACAATGGAAGACAGAAGAATGCCACTTTAAACATTTGTTTAATCGGACAGTCAGACGGCTGAAGCTATGAACAAAGTCAAAATGTAATTTCGGCCAAGGGTGAACAAATGGAAGTGATTAATGCATGTTTCAACATCTGTTGTGGAACGACTGTCTTTCCTTTTTTTGTGAAAGTACTTCCTGTATTCCAGTGAAACAGACTTCGATGTGTAAAATCAGTTGCCCTTTAATTTCATTAGTGCCATCTTGTTGTACCCGCACATGAGTTGATTTGTGGTAATTGAAGTTCCTGCTGGTTTTTTAACCAAAGCACCCAACCATGCTTTCCTGTTCCAGCTGGTCCATGAGCAACATTACAACGATCACCGAACAACCATCTGATCATAATTAAACATGAAATTAGCCTTATAGCCCATTGTTTGCAGGAAAGTGATGATTAAATACGATGTTAAATATTAAAAGGTAATCCCAGTGGTGGTGCAGAACCACTTTATAACGGAAATTAAAGGCTAATTTCAGGCCATTATCGCTGATCCTGTTATGTAAATGTCACACTGACTATGATTACATTAACAAAGGTTAAAGCTTTGAATCATCATACTTTAAATAACAGCCACATGTGCATCTGCAATACACTGTCCAAGCGTTGAGTATGCATCTGTTATAACACCAATTAATTTCTGTGTCAGTGAAAGTAGTTTTTTCTGTAAATCCAAATGAACATGTTGACCTGTTTCTGTTCGCATGGACGTAAGTGTTGCTCTTGTGCATCTAGTCCATCATGTTGGCCTTGCTATGAAAGGGTAATGATGTTTTGAGCATCTCAAACACCAAATTGAGCCAAGTAAACGGAACAATTACAATGTTTAAAGGTTGTGATGTTAATGCTAACAGTTCCACTTCTGATCCAAATGAGCAGGGCGTATGTCTGTAGGTGCAGTTTGATGCTGGTCTTTCTAAAAGAGCAAGTGGCATTGGTATTGCTATATTCATTTTTTGTCCACATTCTGATAGAATCTCTAAACACATAGCTCCTGTAATGTGCTGTTGGGTGAGATCTGTATGTGAAGCATGTTATGTTTGGTAGTCATCTAACAAGTCCATTAAGAGTTCATCCAAACGGCACTCACCATCAACTGAACACTATCGGCCGAAGCACATCAGAGGCAACGAATTAAGCACCAGAATTCACTGGAATCATAGTTTAAAAGACTGACTTAATGCCTAACAGCAACATTACACAGTTTTTGTTTGTCAGATAAATTAACACTACATGCCAGCAAGTATTATCACTCTGCTGCTACGTCCGAACATTAATGTGTCTTTCCTGTCAGTCAGAATGTCCACGTTTATCGTCATTAGACTTCCGTTTTTTGTGTCGTCTGCTAAACTCACTTTGCTTATCTGTGCTGTCAGATGTTAAGTAAAACATGTGACACGGTAAATGTTTTGTGACAGTGTGAATAAGTCCAGGAGCTTCATGGTGTATAAGCAGTTTAGCTAATTTGTAAAACATTTTAAATCACAGACATCAATTTATTACAATTCCATCTCAATAAAAACGTTGTCTGTAAAATGTTCCTCGTTCTTGTCATAAATCTGGTGGAAGTTTTGCATCTCAATTTAATCCTGTCTCACATGAAAACGCTGTGGTTACGCTCACTCAGGACTTAGATTTTCATAATGTTAAGTTACATTACATGTCACTTGTTAGACTTAGACTTACTTACTCAATGCTGTGGGCAATCCCCACAGGGGCAATTTGGGGTGAAGTGTCTTGCCCAGGGACACAACGACATGCTGACTGCAGTGGGGTTTGAACCTGTGACCCCCCTGATCCGAACACCAACGTACTAGTCCACTACGCCACAGCCTCCCCATGTTCAAACAGAGCGACAACTACAGCCACGTTAGCAAATCATTTTTATTTTAATGTTTACATTGCAGGGTTGACACTGGGCTGGATGTAAATTGCATCCGGATGTGTTGATTTATCAATCCTCACGTATAAACGGATGTCAAGTGACCCAAACCTCGACCAGTTTTCATCGTGTGTTGGAAGGCTCCTGCTGCTCATGGTGGACTCAAGAGTCTCAGTCCAGTAACGTTCTCACAATGCACAGCATAGTGGGACCCCTTTAATTACTCATATTTACAGCAAAGTATGCAATGCAGGAGTCCTCTTGTGTATTCGTACAAAATCATACATAACACAAAACCATAAAATTGTCCATTTACAGTGCTCAGCTCTCTTCAGCTGTTCACTCCTGAGCTGCTGCCATCTTGGTGCGGTATTTGCCCGTCATCTCTTTTGGCAGAGCGGTGGTCCCGGGACACGGCACCTGGCCGTCCACCTCGCAGATACACTCCCGCAGGCAGTACTTCCTGGGACCAAAGTTTGCCGGGTTGGATTCCTGCATCTTGGCCTGAGCCTCAGCTTGCAACACTTCTCTGTAAACAGAAAGGGGGGGTAAATCAATACGTTTAAAGAATATCTGGCAACCGAAGTAATAGGCCGTTTTCACAGAGTACAATTGAGATGTCATTTTAGGAAAAGCACAGAGGTAAATGAAAATAGTGGTGGCCTGATTTGATTTAGCTGTTTTGTGCATAACTGATATGACACTCAAATTAAACTGAGCCATTATTTATCGGTAACATTAATAATTTCCTTCTTAAACAACTCAAAATATCTGTACATTCATAGTTATTTACAGGCAGTGATCTTATATCATCCATTAGTATAACAAATAAACTAAGAGAGGTTTAAACCAGTTTAATCACGAGATAACTTCTGTTATGATTTGGTATTATATTATAAATACATTACAGTTGATGTGTTTTGTTGTGATGCGTCCTACATGCTGAACTATTGTTAAAGGATCCAGTTTCATCCTTTATTTTATAATGTCTGATGGACGTATCTTAATATTTGATTTATATATCCCCAATAACTATAATCTCAAGCACTTATAATGCAGGAAACACAGCACACACTTAAACAAAGACTCTGAATTACTCACTCTGTTTTGCCCAAAATCTTCCTCACATGGTCGGAAATATGTTTGTGGTCCCTTCCTTCAACGTCCACCAGCACTTGCTCTCCATCGTCTGCAGAAGAGAGAAAGGACATTAGCCCAAGCTTGGCAGGATACCTAATAGTAATGATACTGATATTATTAATACTATTACAGGTCAAACAGTGCAAGGCTACACACCCAGGTAGAACTTCAAGAATGGCGACGGGGTCATATTTTTGAACATCATGACTTGCACCCACTGGTTTTTATACTGAATCTGAGGAAGGTTGAAGAACACAAATTTTCTGCAAAAGAGGGAGAAAGTTCACATTTTAAGAAACGCATCACTGGACAGGCAGCATGACTTTCTAATACATTTTAGAGAAACAACTTCAACACAAGTGAAAAGGTCTTCTTTTAAGGCAGGAGAAAGGAAAACAATAAAAGCACAGTCAAATATCCAAAGTTATAAAAACTGGTTTTAAAATAAATACCAAATCTATTAGTGAGGCTGACTTAAGCGAGTTATTCTGTCTAATTCAACTAAATAAAACATTAAATCACAATCAAATTCATTTGTCTACTGTAAAAACTTTAATGTTGCTACTTATTTAAACATGCAGGCAATATATTCACGTCTGAGGTTTTTTATGCCTGGTTTTGATTCATTTGAATCATGTAATACTACAGTATGTTTTTTTGTTTTACTGCAAGACACTAGAAGTTACCTTGATAAATAGGTAGAAAATGTTATGTGATGATAAAATCCACTAAACCAATTTCAGCTGAGAATTCCGAGATGTTATGGACCAACAATTGTCTAATCAAGACAAATAATTAGCGTACAATTATAGATACTGGAATGTATCATTATTTACAGCCCCATCGTCACACAAATGATATTTAGGGTTGAGTGCATACCACTTTAATAACACACGCATTTTATTAAATATCATTATGAGGAGCAGTCTGCTTTTAGCTCACAGGACGAGACATATCTGCAGTGTTTTAGCAGTGTGCGTGTAGCGTGTGTGTGTGTGTGTGTTATACGGTGAAGTGGTCTGCTGTCTCTGACCTTGCTCCCTCGCTCAGCTCTCCATGTGTGTTGTAGTTCACCGTCATGATCTTCACTCTGTTCTTAAACACGATGTCTCCCTTCTGCAGATACTCCAGAGTCCTCCTGATCGGAAACCGTCCTTTCATAGGCATTTTAAACTCTTTTTTGTCCACAAAATATCATGTAAAGCAGCCTATGCCTGAGTCGCACAAGCAAAGCACACGGACAGGCGCCTTTTGATGACGTCTTGAGTCGTTGTCACGTGTTTTTTTTTTATGGAGAAGAAAAACGTCAGCAGTAGGCTCTTTGGAAAACGATGCTCATAATGAATACGGAATTATATATTAAAACAATAAAATACAAGTAGATGAAATGTAGATCATAAGAAAATAAGTTTACATTCAGGCGTTATCATTTTGTACAAGCCTACACTTAGTAGTAGTAGTCTTTAATATATTTCAGAGAATACAAATAATAGAAATTCATTGCAAAAAGCATTAAAATCGGAATGACTTTCCACTCAAAAACATGTTTATCGGTGACTGTAATGTCACAATATTTAAACCCCACAGTCAGATAAATATGAAATGAATTATATAGCTTTACTTTTTTTTCAGAGAGCAGCAGAATATGAGATCAACATCCTTTATGCATTTACTGACAGGTTTCTCTCAACGATAGTTTGAGTTGTGTTTTTGTGTTGTCCTTGACAAAGCTTTAGTTACAGTACATGAGAGAAAACTCTGTAATATCCAGGTGTTGGCAAGCGTCATACTTAAGTTTTCAGCAATAATAGTCTCAGTCATGTCATATTTCATAATGAATTGTTTATTTCTTTTTATAGCATGTGGCTTCAGAGAAGCAAGCTTCAGAGACTGGAATGCTGATACAGGAGCTCAGTCGATTATGCATGTTTTACATCTTCATTGGTGTGAGGTAGAAATGTGGGGTTGTGACAAACTTGAGCAAAACATTTATGTTGTTTCTAAATCTCAATGTTTGAAGAAATGCATTTCACATAAGCATAAAAAACCAAGAACATTAACATGGTATAAAATGTTAACATAGGATACTCAAGCCACAAAGCTCAAGAATAGAAATCTGATGTAATATCCTGTAATGTAAGAGCTGCTTATGGTTAATATTTTAAAGCCACAACATTTAAATACACATTTTTCATAAAGCATTTAATAAAATGCACTTAAGCGACTTCTTCATGCACTGCAATGCACTATAAAATGTATAACAATGCTCCTTATGAGGGCAGACAGCGACAAGATTATAAAACCTGGCTTACAAACAACATGCACTCATTTTAATGAAACTACATGTACAAAGGTCATTTCACAACAGTGCCTTTACAAACAGTTTGTATGGGTTTTAAACCCAAAATATTACAATTGACATTTACTTTTCAAGACATAATCCTTTTTGACCTCTTTACATTCCTGTTATCATTCATGTTGCTGTGGATTCAATTCAGTCAATGCAACTCGTCGTCTTTAAAGAAAATGCAGGTCTTTAAAATAAAAAAACGTACTCAAAAATGGCTACCCAGAAAATCTTGGTTCTTTTTCAAATCAGGGAAACCTGCCCAAAAGTACTTTAAGTACACTTAGTATGCAACAAGCACATTTGTTTACAACAAAATAAAGTTTTTAGAAAACATATAAAACACAAAGGTTTAGTCAGCATGAAAACAGTGGAACGCCACACAAGCTGATTGATGTGCACAAAGCAAAGAACAAATGCAAACACAAGTACAAAAACAGTAGCATTGCTACACATAAGTAACATTTCTGAACTCAAAAATATTTAAGATAATATAATTCCTCAAAAGAAATAACTGCCAATGATAAATACACATACAAAAAGCAGATTGAGAAGAAGTGCCATGACACTGATGGGACAGAGAGAATTGCCATGTTATAGATTGTCGTAAAGGGAAAGTGATCAGGTGATTGCACAGGTCATTAGCAACATATTCATGATAAGACATACATTAGTGTACATCTCTGATAAGTCTTTTAGAATAAAAAAAGAAAAGGTTCAGTGAAACTTGCTAATTTGGCCAATCTGAAGGTGAATTTAAGTTAAAAGTAAAAATAAAATAAACCAGACATTGGTCATGTTATAATGCCCTGAATGGACGGTAAATGCTGTTGACGCCAGTTCATATAAATACAGAACTTAGAGTATGAATTAATTGAGGTTTGAGTTAGTTTCATACCTGATTGGAGTTTCATTCCAACTTTTCTTTATGTATTTAAACAGATTCTCATTAATGTATTACACCTTTGAGGCAATGTTTTCGGTTTAAAAATTGAAAAAATATGGAATTATTACAAAGCGTGTATCGATTCCTCATTGAACTGTATGACATTCAGAAAAGTCATACGTTATCTTTGTAAAAGACTGAATTCTCAATTCAACAGTACGGTCATTTAAATATTAGTTTTACTGCACCAATGTTACCAAATACCAACATAAACAAACACTTTATAGCTCAAAGTACACTTTTAAAGTGAGTACTGGAAATTACTTTAGTCTTTAGACTTTGAAATAGTTGAGATTCCACTTCCACAAGAGCAGGATTTCTGTTTCAGCTTATTGATAGAGTCTGTTATCTGCATGCTAATGGTAAGTTACGTATGTGATCAACATGAGAGCATGGTAAGGCTTAGATAAAACAGAAACAATAGGAAAGGCTTAGAAGTTAAAGCTCATGTGTCATTAGCTTGAAGTGCTATGAAGTCATTAAAGGAGAGGAGCACAGTTGAAGCTGCAGAGGGATTCCTTTTCCATTCAGTTCAGAGCGACTGAGGTTAGAGCCAGAAATTCAAGATTACCGCACTGCGTTAGCTCCAGAAAACATTCCTAGCGTCATCCTGGTTTTCCAATCCCAGATTATGTTAATATATCGAGGATTCCTGAATGACTTTGCATCGTTATAAAACAAGGGGCTGCTGCAGGACTTTAGAGTGGGGTTCAACGTTAAACCCCACGAGAGAAAAATAAGAGTACCTGAAGTGGATCCTAAAAGTTCCTGGTGCTGGAGCGATTGGCTGTCAGTCTGTGGGGTCAGAGTCCTGGCTGTTATACTCAGCCGTCTCCATCTTGAGGATGTAGGGAATGATGCTGTCAATGGAGACGTTACCTATCAAGCCAGTGAAGAAGAGCTCCTCTGTGATGCCCGAGTTCATGAGGCGCAGCGCCGGGAGACGAGTCAGGATACGGGTCAACCTGGGAGACAAGAAAACCCATCTAAACTCATGTGTTCACTGTTTGGCAAATGCGGTGCTCTTATATGTTCCATAGCATTTTCTCAAATGTGTTTATGGTGCCAAAATGAATGTCAGTTAGCCAGAGACACTACATTTCCTATATACTAAATCTAGATCCTAAATCACTAAATCCTCTATACAAGTGAATACCAACTGCTGGGGAATCATTTGCTTAGGTATTCAACCTTTGACACAGTTCATCATTTTTCTCTTCTCACCGTCTCCTTTCCGATGGCATAGGTCTACGGCCTTGGGTATTGCTGCTATCTCTCTTAAGGAGGGGCAGCTTGGGCGCATTGTTGTTGCCAGCTTATGACCGAGCACAAAAGATGACATGTGATAGTGTATTGTTCAGGGACATCTAGAAGCCCTTCTTTTTAGGAAGGTAGGTTCCCTGGCGCACATTCTTTTCTATGGACGACAGCTCTAGTTAGATTTAATGTTGATTATTACACTCCGAACTAGTTAAAACCTCGAGCTACAGAAGAGTTCTTCAGAATTGATTGTGGCATCTCAATCGTGTGGTCAACTCGTGGCCCGTTACATCTTGTGAATTCTCCGGCCGAAGCTCCAAATAAACCATCAGTGTTTGCCATCAAAGCTCCAGCTCTCCTCGTGTCTCTCCGAGTCCTGTTTCCAATTGCTTCAGAAGTTTCCCTCACACCAACCTCTTTTGTTTTACTTCCAGAGCTCAAACAAAGCGCTTCGAGATTTGTCTTGGCAGATGAGAAGCGCTATATAAATTAAATGTATTATTATTATTACATTTATTAAACAGATACGTTCATGTACCACTCAACACCACCCGTTTAACCCCACATTTATTCATTTTAATGGATTTCTAAACTGGATGATATTAAACCAGATCAAAGCTAGAGTGCCTTACTTTGCTATATATAAATAAACGTCTATTTAATTTCAATCCAAAGAAGCTCACACAATGCTGATAAAGCTATCGTCACGAGGAAAATCTCCCTGTATTCTGCAGTATTTTGGATTTCTAGTGTCTGGTGCTGGTGCATAAATAAACACTTATGGTTACGAAGCTGCATTAATTTGAATTAGAGTGTATCAGATGCGTGAGACGTGCTAGTAAAAACTGACATGCTTGCAGTCCAGACGAGGATGGACAGGAAGTAAGAATGTACCTGTAGGTTTCCTCTGGGTACGTTTTCTGCACGTAGTCCTGCAGCTCCATCAGGGCTTTCTCCTGGAACTTCTCAATCTGACCACTGCTGTCCACACCTGGGTGATCTGATAATCAAACAGAACAACTGTTGATTTTCAAAATGCAAATACAAGTCATTTATTCAAAGCACTCTCCCTCCTTCATGGAAATCTTTTAATTTGAATGATACCTATCATTAACCAGGAAAGCAGACACTCACCAGGGCTGAACAGCACTATAGCTTTCAGGTAGGCGTACTCGTAGCTGTCCGTCTCCAGCTTTGTCATGCTGTTACAAAACTCCTGGAACTTCCAGATGTGCTCCATCACCTGCTTCACCCTCTCCCCCGAAAGCTTTTCTGAAAAACGAAAATGATTTATAAAGAAGGCTTCATTATTTACTTTAAGATGAATCTTGCCTGGAGGCAGTGGCGACTGGTCATTAGTGTCAACAGAAAGTATTAAAATAATGATTACAACAAAATGCAAAAAATAAATTAAAATATATATCAAATATATTTTAAGATCATGTTTAATCATCTGATTCGTCTGTACATTGCTGTTTTAGTCTGTGTTCTTCTAATTAGTGTCTACAGTGTGTGCCTATTGAGCTGTTTGGAGCCATGTGGGACAAAACCCGATCCTGCCCCTCCCTCTCTCTGTCTAAGTGAACAGTGACTGTAAAAACTACACTGCGCATGCTCAGAGTATTTTCCTATTTAATGTGTGTGACAAAAAATAATGACCATAGGGGCATGCTGCCATCCCCGTCATACGTCAACTCACATAATTCAGAGCTGATTGGCTGTAAGTACGTGTGCCGCGAAAAGTGTGGTGTGTGAAGAGCAGGTGAAGAGGAGGAGAGAGACGCGTCCTAAAACCAGGAAGTAAGCTGCGCATAGCTTCCCTCCACAAAAAAGCAATGAGATTTCTCCATAAGATTTTAGAAAATAGCTCAAAATAAGATCTGTGGGAAACGTAGCTGTTAGATAAATGCTCGTTTTTGTTCAGCCGGATAATATCCACATGTCTACCCTACTTTTATAATTTTCGAATCATAAATCCATCATTTAGATTTATGATAGACTTTTGAAACTATAAGATAAGGATGACTTTTACAAAAAAGTAATAGAGATTTTTGTCCAGAGGGATAGGCAAATGGACTTCATCTTCAAGTCAAGGTAAGACCGCAATTTTATTGAAAATGGGATCTTACTAAGAGAGAACAATTAAATATTTAAATGATCAAATTACATTTTTTAGGTATCCTTCTGTTGAACTGTCTGTTTAAAATTAATTGAAGCATCAGACTAAAGAGGCTTTTGAAAATAATATTATATTTTGATTTAGGTCAAAATATAATATTATCAGTGCCTCACCAGCCATGAACCTCACTGCACGTCACTGCAGAAGCTTATATATAGACATCTAAGTTTTTTGTGCCCCACCACTTTTGTACATATAGAAACGTCACTGCCTGGAGGTATCGTCAACCAAAAATAAATATCAATATCAAAGACTGTTGACTGATGTTTTGTTAAAATCGGTAATAATAGTGGCAGATAAAGCAGTTTGGCACAGAGTACAGCCAAGCATAATATTTAGGGTTTGATTGCAGAGTGATTGACAGGACGGTCAGACTATACAAACTAGCACAGCCCCTAGTTGACCCCCCCCCCCACACCCACACACACACACACACACGCACACACCACAACACAGACTATATCACCCCTTGCTGCTAAATACCAACAAATGATGTGCAATGTGTGCAATATATAAATGCCGTTCATAACTGTGTAATATATACCTGGCTGCTAAATCCTTAGAACTGTTACAAGGTGTGTATTTTGTATTTTGTAAATTGTGTAACTTGCTGCTGTTAAATACCAACCACCTATGTGCAATATGTGCTGGATGTGCAATATATATAGATGCCGTTAATAACTGTGTAATATATACCTGGCTGCTAAATCCGTAGAACTGTTACAGGATATGTATTTTTTTTAATTATGTAACTGTAATTTTGTATTATATATTTTTTTAATTATATCATAACTTAGTACTTTTTTTAAATGCATATCACATATTTAACATATGTAACATTAAGCTGTCTGTAGCTCTTTTTCCTGCTGTAATCACGCACATTTCCCCTCCGTGGGACTAATAAAGGTATTCTGATTCTGATATAGCTATATGCAGGCAGGCATCATGAGCGGGAACAAAGTTGACATTACAGCATGTAAACGTATTCTAGTAGTAGTATCCAAAATGACTTAACTAAACCTGAACAACTGGATAATAGAGGACCTTTAACCTTCTACCTTCTGTGAAGTGGCAGTAGACACATTTTGAATGTAATTCATCTTTATAAAGTACATGTTAATGACACTTTCTAATACCTAAAGAATTAGGATTTGCATTTTGGAGAAGCATTCATTTTCATAAGGCTTAGTGGTTGTGTTGGTGCAGTGAAGGAGTGTGAACGGTGCAAAAGGAGGAGAAACCCTCGCTCACATCTAAATTCAAACTGCTAAATTAAAAAAATAGCTACATCTAGGTCTCACAGGTAACAGTGTGTGTGTTTTATAATGTTATTAAGCAATCGGAAAACGCTGCAGTGAAAACAACTAAAAATATGAATCAAATCCCACTTCTTGACTCCTGAGTATATGTGTGTGTGTGTCCTACTGAGAAGTGATGACGAGGTCTGAGGTCCATACCGTCCTGGATGCTGCTCTGAAGGTGGCTGATGATGGCGGCGAGGATGGTGGACAGGTTCATCTCGTGAGCGCACTGAGCCAGACCCAGAGTGAACAGCTCGTTCCAGCAGGCCCGCACCAGGCTGGTGTTCGCCTCCTGACTGAGGAGGACGGAGACAGAAGATACATAAGTGTGAGCAGGAAGACAGGCAATGATGCAACCTTTGGAAACATTCTCAAACAGACGTTATCTTTAGTGAATGTGCTTTTGAACATGTTGCACCCTCATCGTTGTGTGAGCTACAGGGACTCACCTTACCCAATATTTTTCTCAGCGTTGAATATTTAAAAACCGAATGATTTGACAAGTGAATACGAATAATTAATTTAATGTAATTATTAACGTAATAATGTAGTTTGTTTTAGTCTGTTGCTTGTTCCTTTTATGGTAAACGTTGTACGTGTTGCCTTGGCCAGAAATCCCTTATAAAAGGAATTCTAAAACTAAATTGGGGTTCTCCTGGTAAAATCAAATAACAATTAATTGCATTCCTAAAAGGAGAATAACTGTTTAAGTTAAGTCTTCCTGTCTCAAATGCATCCTCACCCAAGAGCTGAGAAGGCAGGGATGGAGCGTGCCCAGTGCATGGAGAGGAAGAGGAGTCTGGAGGCTGACTCACAGATGTAGTGCACGTTCAGATACTCAGGCATGGGACTGGGCATGGTCAGCTGGACAAAGAAGGAAAGATCATAGGAGAGGAAAATATAAAACACTGTGTGACAAAGATGCCTCACAGTGATGATTGCTGAAGTTAAAGAAACAAGATTTGCAGACTACGGCTTTAGCTTATACATAATTCAAAATTGTGAGTAAATAAACCATTGCATAAATCAGGGGTGTCCAAACTTTTTTCACGAGGGCCACATACAGAAAATGATTGGAAGGGCTGGGCCACTCCCTAGAGGTGAGGTATATTGCCTCAGAAGTTCAGTTAGAAGTTGGAAAAATCAATCCAATGTAGGTAAATTATTCTTGATACTTGAAAATGCTTTAACCCTTATGTTTTTTTGATCGGAACAAAGCTTCATGATATCCTCCACAACAGCTATATAAAAACACTACAAAACTGATTTTGACAATTTTAGCCAAGTCTGAAGGTCTCTAAAAACGTGTATAATTTGGTGTTCGGGGAAGACCCGGCACAATTGCTGTGGGTGACTCGGGGTCAAATTTGGCCCAATCAAGACTCATCTTTGACTTTAGACATATTCCATTATACTTTTTAAATTTTTTACTGATGGCCCCTGGTATAAATAATGGTGTGTTTTCTTTATTATTTAACAAATAATGAATAATAATTCATATCAGATGTGTTATTCGGGCCATTGAGTTGCCTCCACCCACCGTAAAGCCGACATGGTTGTCTGTGAGCAGGGGTCCTTCCACCTCAATGATGGGGGTCTCCTGGTCTCGACCAATCAGCTGGATGGTTGTTCCACTGACACACTGCCGCTTCTCCTCCAGACCCTGTCTAATGCTGACCTCAGAGGGGTTGAAAACTTTGGCCAGGGTGTCGAAGGCACTGTGCACAACAAACAAACACAACATGAACAGATCTGACAGAAGACTCTCTGCAACAGAAATAGAACTTTGTCTCGTCATTTGTTTTATCTTTTTTTGCCTCTGTAGACAAGAATATTGAATTTTAGATATCCTGCTTCCAAAGGGGCAACTAGCTTGACAGATGGAGCCAGGTAGAGCTGCAACGACGTTCAACCAGGAAGATCTTCTTTACTCATTCATTTACTATTTCCATGTTACTACTCTCTCTCCTCTCAATAAGCGATCGGGGGCGTCACTCCCCAGCTTAACCAATCACTTCGCTCTATTCTCACAAGCCTATCATAGCGCTCCGCTAAACCTTTTAAATCTGCTCTCCCCTCTGACAGCTGTCATTTCAGGTGACTCGACGCAACCCTCCTCCACCCCTTCTCACCTCCCGTCCCTCTGAATCCAGGGTCAAGCTAAGCCACTCCCCTTCAGATCGAACCCAACTATCCATTCACCACCACCAGTGTCTAGACCCGGGGGGGGTTTCATCGGATCAGTTCTACCCTCCCGAATGATACTCCTGCACAACAGGGCCTAATCGCCAAAACTCCATTACATTCATTTATATTTATGTTTTCCTGGCAATAAATATGTATTTGAGTTTATGCAAAACAATGGCACAAAGTGCTTTCAAGCTTTCCTGTTTTCTCAGTGTTGTCATATAATCCTTGATATGTTTTGTTTTTTTACTGACAAATCAAGACATTTGAGGAAGTCACAGATACCGGGATGAACTTTTAACACTATTTTAATGGCAATAAATTAAACCAGTAAACAATTAATAGATTATTCTAGAAAATGATCTGCAGCCATGTTTGAATTTGAAGTGCCTGTTTGTTTGATTCGACATTGAAGACACCTCTCAAAACAAACTGACTGACCGTGTTATCTCGCTGGCAGACTCCTCCTCATGTTGGCTGTCTGAGGAGTCACCATTGTTCAGATTCTCTCTGAGTGAGTCGCTCAGGCTAGCCAATGACGTCACCACATTGGCTAGTGTCCCCAAGTCTCCGTGCGCATGATCCATCTGAAGACAAATGAAAACATTGAAGAAGAAGATTGAACTTTATTGTCATTACGTAGTACAGGTACCAGTAACGAAAGAGTTTCTCTGCATTTGACCCATCCTAGTGATAGGAGCAGTGGGCTGCCATTAGGTACGGCACCCGGGGAGCAGTGTGGGGAATGGTGCCTTGCTTAGGGACACCTCGGTAGCAGTTGATCTTTCTGGGACTGGTGACCTTCCAGTTGCCAAGCTAAGCTATGGACTTCGCCACCACCACCCTAGATTAATAGTAGAATCATTTCCATCAAATAGGTGAGCTGAACCAGGATCCACTATAGAAATAGGGGGTCCTACACTGGAGCAAAGCATTCAAATGATCTGAAGTGAGTTGATTAAATGTTATTGGAGTAGTATTTAACATATTGTGGCTTAAAAATGTAGTATGCATTCAGATTTATGTGATACAAATCTGAATCTTAATCTGAGCCACTGTCGCTCCTTATTTTTCTTTTGTTCTTACTACTTTCTGTTCATAGTAGAATTGTAAATAAGGCAGCCTTTCTCTCTTTTTGTCAACATTAAGGACACAGTTATTTTGTTTGAATACACTTTATTTGAACTTTCAATGAACAAACGGAACTTGGTTTTCTTGCTTACATTTAGTATGAACATTGAATATTATGTTTTGACAAGCAAGGCAGATTGAAACATGCACTGTGAGGTGATACACATTACAAGATAAATAAAAACAGCTTTACAGGTTTTAAGTCTTTTTTAGACCCTCATTATACTAAGACAAAATATAACAGTGTCACAACAAGGAACAAAATCTTCCAACATCTCCACCTGAGGGATCATACTTCTATTAGCAGAAGGAGGCAGCAGCAGGGCAGACAGGCAGATCTATATATATCAAATGGTATATATTATCAATACAGTAAGTGCTGCAGCAGCTGTACCTTTGAGTCAGAGGCCAGCAGCAGAGTCCCATCACTCTGGATGAGCGGCTGCTGGATGTTCACCAGCATGCCCTGCTCCAACAGGCTGGATCTGCAGGAGACACAGAACATCGTCAGAATCCAGTTTACATCACAGTACAAGGTGAGTGATAGAATAACAGAGTGTGAGGTTTCTCTAAAGGTCTGATTCCCACTGACCTCGAGCCATCCGTCTCTGTGTCGGAGATAAAGGTTGGCGTGGCGATGAGCGGACTGTTTAAGTCCTTGCGAATGTAAATCTTCTGGGTGGAGGCGGCACAGTTAGCATGCTTCTCTCGGGGCACCACGTCGATGGGCTTTCTCTCACTCTGGACAGCTGAGGATGAACCAAAAGAGAAAGTTTAAGTTTTGTTTTTGCACGCTGTAAGGGAAACTTCTGTGTAGCAGCAATGCAGTCGGAGTCACCGACTCAGGAAAGAGACACGGTAGAGCAGGAGCTTCGATGTCAAACACTGATGGTTTATTTGGAGTTTCGGCCGGAGAATTCACATCACAAGTCACAGCAGTCACGGTGAGACTGCACGGGTGGGTTGCCACGTCAGAGACCCATGTATTTAGCTAGTTCCGAGAGCATCATCAACATGCTGCATAACAAGATAAAATCATAACACCTCTATCAGCTGATGCCACCAGGCAGGAACAGGGAGACAGAACACTGAGAGCACAGCAGCCAAGGTTACGAGGTGCGTGTGCTCAGTCACGACAGTTTGAACTGATAAACTGGGTCAAAGTTATGGGCCTTGGAAAATATTTCCACAACACACGCCAATTCAGTCTGTTTAAATCCAATATGATTAAACCAAATATGTAAACTCCGTTCCAGATCAATATTGGGTTACATTGTAATTTTACAGTTTGTAGAATAAGATTGCAGTTGTGACTGTGTAGGATTGTTTTCGGTGTTGTGTGATCCAGAAATACTAATAGAATACTAATAACTTTAGAACATTGAAAAGTGAAAGTCAAAATCTCTGACAAAAAGATGGATGTAATCAATATGTGCATGATTTTATCCAACAAAAATGTTTAATTCATAATTGTTGGCGTTAAGCCTTCCTAAAACAACGTTTTTACTACTCCAGCTTTTGCCCTCGTTAAGCTTAGAGTAGTGTAAATGGTGCATTGAACCATAAAGCAATGGCACAAGCCAGCCAGAATGGGCGCTACACTAGTTCAAACAAACAAACTGTGGATTTAGTTGTTGCATAATAAGAAGACAGACATTCAAACCTTTCAATGTTTCATTCAAAAACCTCGAAAGAAGCAGTATAGACCCATCCAGACTTTGTGTATAAAATGTAAGACTATGTTTTAAGGATTCTTTAGTGAACTGAATGTTGTTTTTTAATACTTCTCCAAACCTGCAGACACCCTGATGATACCTGAGTGTTTTTGTCGACATGTTTTTCTATAGTGTCTTGGATTTGCATCCAGACTCACAGTCAGTCTTCATCCCCATGTCAAGGCATTTCTTCAACCGACAGAACTGGCAGCGGTTGCGGTGGTGTTTGTTGATGACGCAGTCCTGTTTACTGCGGCAGCTGTAGGTCAGGCTCTTCCTCACGCTCCGCTTGAAGAAGCCTTTGCATCCCTCACAACTGACTGCTCCGTAGTGACGGCCTGATCGCAGGAGAAACTGGTCAGAGTGTGTGAGTCACTGGCCCACCTTTGATTGCAGACAATATGCAGCAAACATACATTCAGATTTAGCGTCAGGACACATGACCTTGTCCTCTCAGGGTAATGCACCTGACTGTAAGCCTCAGTACCTGAAGCCTTGTCTCCACACACCAGACAGTACTCCACTGGCTGCGGTCGGCTCAGGTCCCCGGACTGCCCTAACAACCGCTCCATCGACACTGGATCTGTGACGATCTGAACAACAAAGTCAAACACAGGCCATTTATCTTGTGTTTCACCTTAACACAATGTCATAATCATGGCTATCTGAAAACTATGACAAATAACTGCAAAACATTGATTTTGTAATAAAAAGGTGACCTCCTGAACTCTATTTTTGAGTGTCTTGTAAAGTCATGAGTGTCAATTTGTGTGAATGACAAGAAAATAAAGAAATCAATCAATGAAATCAGTGAAATAAATATACACAGTACCTTTCAAAACGTATTTACCAAGTTCTTTATAATAAACAACAGAACAAATCCTTAACAGAATAAAAAGAATCTCAAAAACAAAACACATGAGAGTAACAGAGACTAAAATGTTATAAAGCATGAACAAAATCACAGAAGAAAAAATGTGGGATTGGTTTTAAAAGTAAGACGAGATATACATTGTAGCCCTGATCAGGTGCCTAAGACTAAAGAGCCCTGAATGCATATCACCATAGTATATGAATGCAGACTGAGGGAGAGGACTGTACCTGTATCCTTCCTGGCATCAGGCTGTCAGCAGCGGTGAAGATGAGCTGCTTCGTGCTGTGGCCGTCTGGAGAGGCCAGGATAACCTTGCCGGCCCCTGAGCTGTCAGCTGTTGTCAGAATGAACTGCTGTTTGGGAGCAGAGGACGGCTTCATCGCTGTCACTATCTGGATCTTCTGACCTGTCTGCTGGTCAGTTACAATCTGAGGGGGTTAAGAGATGTAAGAGGGAGACAGAAAGAGAGGGAGGTGGAAATGAACATGGTCCAATGGGGTTGAAGTAAAAAATAAAAGAGCAGAATGACATTGAAGGTGGGAGAGATGAGTCACATGTTACAACATCAACTAGTTTGATGCTGCTAAAGAGGAAGAGTTCAACAGGTAGCAGCAGGGTCACATCTGAAGAATTTGAGAGTTACCTGTATTCGCTGTAGCGCTGTGGCAGGTTCAGTGGAGAGGACCTGAAAGCGCTGTGGAGACTCACCCATCACTGAGTCTGAAGGAGAGGATGACACAATTTAAAACACATTTCAACATGCTTCAACACAAATCATCTATAAGTCTGCATCAAATATTTGTCTTACTTGAGTCCATTTACAGCATACACATTTGAATCGTAGATCGTTTTAAATGAAAAGAAGTCGGAGTGTCTACAGAAGGTATGTCCCTATGGAAACAAACAACAACAACAAATGTAACATCCGCCAATCACGCAGACAAAGATAGTAGCACCAGAGTATTTTTAACTTTAAAAAACCTTCAGACTGCCAGCACATCATTACAATCGCCCTCTCACCTCGGTTTCGTGCTCAGACTCCACTTTCTGCTGAGAGAGCAGATTCAGGCCGGTGGTCATGATGATGAAGGGTCATCAGTGAAGTCTGTTTGGAAATATGAAGAAAATCAACCACTGAGAATCACAATCCAAAAGGAATGATGTCTGTCGAGCTCTTGTGAAGGAGCTATTTATCCGTGACAATTACAGCTACTATAAAATAACTTTTCTTTTCAATGGCATGATGGGCGAAAAACACGTCTCTACATTTGACCAGTAAAGTGGAATAATCAGTGATGGATCAAATCATACGTTCACACATACAATCATTTATTTATGATAATAGAAATAAAAGTATACAGAATAGTTATGACATCTGTTCATGGTTACATATCAGCATTAACATTAGGTAGTCGGTGTTACAAAACATCTCACATACTTTGATATTTGTCCTGTGCAGACACCTCAGGTAAATATTTGGTCAGAAAAGTCCAGCGTTTGCATGACTGCAGTGATGTGCAAGATGAGTCAGTGACCTCTGAGGGCGACCTAGACGTGAGATTTGAGAGACCGTTGATAACCAGATTACACTACAGTCTGCTGGGAACCCACATGGCCCCCACTGTAACAAAGGGGACAACTGATGTTCCTACATACAAATATACCATCTTTAATATGGACATAGAGTACGTAGATCACCCCTGCTTTTCTTGCTGTCTTTGGTTGCATTGTTATTGTTAGGTAGAAAATCTGCCGTGTCCTTTTAGATAGGACTTAATTCTGATCACAGTCACAGAAAAAAGGTTTTACTCCATAATAATCATTATGCAATAGTTATCAGGAGAATCTGAAATCAATGTGTTTGAACTTTTGTCAAATGTATTGCTTTTTATGAGACAGTTTTGCAAAAAGCAAAAATAATAACTTGATATTTGACCGTCTCATCTTTCTATTTGTTTAAAAAATAATGTCATATTATAAAATAGAAATGAAACATATCTTTGTTTTCCTGCTCTGCTTGATCTTGTGATTTTTGTATCTCTTATTATTTATCTTTTTTTTATTATTCGACGATATCGCCTTATTATCTTGTTATTTTAAAATATATATTTTGTGTACTTAACCCCCTTGGAAACGAGAGTACATCTCAATGGGTTTTTCTTTATAAATACTTTCTAAACGGATTATTTTATTTTTCATTTGTATTCTTAGTATATATAGTTGCAGCTAATGTTAATTGTATTGTGTATTATATTTGTATCCTATTGTATCTTTGTTTAACTCGTGTCATGCTTGAAACTGCTGCTGAAACCAAATCATTTCCCAATCTTGGGATAAATAAATCCCCCCAAAAAATGCATCTATCTATCTATCTAATTGCCTGCAGTACATTGATGTATAAAGGGCCTGCAGTGGCTCCATGATATGTTCACTGACCAAAGGGAGGATGCCAGCTGCACTGTGCTGTTCACTGATTGGTCTAACAGAGAGCCCATCAATTCCTCCGTCCTCAAACGCATCACAACCATGATCACAACAGAACAAAATGGACAAACTGGCAGTCAGCCAATAACACATCCTTGTGATAAATATATTACAATACTTATATTTCCAGACAATAGAGCAGCCGGCTGATTTTGTGCTGGTAGTAGATGTATAAAAATGCAGCTTTGTTAAATAAAGTATTAGTCTTTATAAACCACGTATGTCCCTGAGATGGCAAAGGTAAAAGGGTCGAGTTCATCTGCAGCAGCTCTCCTATGTTAGCAGTCACTAGCAAACCCAACACTAGCAGCGGTCTGCAGCCCTCTCCCCTGGATATGTCATTGTATCATGCATGGATCGGTCCAGGATAAGTCGACGGTAGTGTCACATATAATTAGTGAAATGATAAGCATGTCAGCGGAGCCAGACTCCGCCCTGCGCTCCGCGGTCCCTGCCCGGTCCCGAGCTGCCAGAGTCGGGCAGGAAGGGAGCTCCGCAGCGGCTAGCTAACATGCTAGCTGAGATTAGCTGCGCTCTTTTATCTTCCGGTATCTCAGTCGAGCTTTCTATGGTTTTCAATCCGTCACTGAGACTTACCTCTGGGGAACGCTGCTCACAGATTGCGGTCTCTTTGATATTTATAAAATATTTGTTTTTGGTTTTCTTCTGTTAAAGGTCATAGTTCGTGACCCCGCACCGCCAGCGTTGATGATGGTTGAGGTTGTTTTTTTTTTCCTCCTTCCTCCGTCGCGTCCCCGCGCGCCTCCAACACCCCCCACCCACCCTTGGCGCGAGCCAGACAGGACTGACGTCATCGTGTCTGAATGACTTTTCTTGTATGTTATAAAATTAACATAATAAAATAAAGTGTAAGCTACTATCAGACGAATAAGAGACAGACTCAAGTATTTGTTTTGTCTGTTAAGTATTCCTTGCGCCAATGATATATTCCCAAACCATGTCCTATTTTGAAAAGTAATTGATTTATTTTGTGAAAACCCCTGGAAATTAAATAATGAATTTGTTGTTCAAATGTGATTTTATGGGTGATTTTGAAAGAAATATGTTTATCTATATATATATATATAGATAGACATAGGCCTATATATAGCTATCTTTAATAATACAAACTGTTTTCAATCAAATGGTTGTTGTTACAGGGCTGTAATTAAAAAGTTAAAATGTAAGCAATGAAGGCTTAGCCTTACAATACAAAAAGTGTGACAAATAGTCAATGCTTTTATTCAGCCATGTAAATGCCAAACAAATGTAAATCTTCTTACAAAAATTTGGAAACTAAGCCTTCCAGAACAATAGACTTTTGAGGAAAGTAGTAAACATTGTGATTAGTTAAACTTTGAAATGAAAATAAATGTGTTTATTTATTGGTAGGCTATTAGGAAAAGGAGTAAATGTCGATTAAACATTTTAGACACAAATCTTTGTACGACAGAATATGTTTATTTTCACATAAAGATAAATAAATGTCACCTATAGTCACAAAAATCTCACAAAGTCACATGCAACTATTTTAATCTTGATGGTCTTTTTTCTGACGGAGTCTCGAACCATGACAAAAACAACCATTTGTGATTTGTAACAGCATTTGTTTAAAACAAAACAAAGGTATTGCGGCTTTGTTTGTTGCACTTTCCCCACCATGTACATTTTTGTAAAATATAGCCTGATAAAAATAGGTCTACCTAATCTGTCTGCGTCTAAGATTTCAAGTTGTGCACTCACGTAGTCGAGAATCAATTCATATTTGCATTAACCATTTGCCTGCATTTCCATGACCATCTAACCTATATGCTGCAGGTCTCCCTTGAAAAAGAGATCTATGATCTCAATGGGACCAATCTGGTTAAATAAAGGTTTGAAATTAAATTAAATCTCCCTCCATGTTATGGAAACAATAAGAACTTTATGGTCCAGCCTCAGAAAAAGAAGTACCTCTGACTAACCACCAGATGTCACCCTGCACCACCAGGTGTGGTGACCTCGTATAGGCCCTATACGACTGAATGTGCAGGAGAACAATAGGAGCACGGCAGCAGAGATTCAGAATAGACCTAATGACCGTTATGAATTTAATCCATACAATAAAATGTATATTTCCTTGGGTTAAATATTTATAGTTTTCTGTTGTATAATATTTACCGTCTCCGATGGAAAATTGGCTATAGTTGATTGATCTCATCTGTTTTGGATCTCCATCAATGTATAAATATGCGACGCCATTACTTGCAGCTTTAATCGGAATCTGAAGCTATAGTAGGCTAGATAAAATAATATGTTACCAAGTCACCCAGTTTACAATTTATCCACAGTTTAACTAGGCCCCTCATATTATTTTAATAATCATTAGCCCTATAGCCTGGTGCCATCTTACGAAAAAAATATTTGTAGGCTACCAATGAAGTCTTACTGCAAAGGGTAAAAATTGTCAATACCGTTTGAATGCTATTGATGTCCCGTGGAATGTGTCTTTCTGGTTTGCCCACAGGACAGTTATATATGTCTGATGTCTGTTGTAAAGTCGCACTGTTTACCGATGACAGGAACTCTTAAATAGGCTATTTGTCAAGAGCAGAGGCATTAAAAAAAAACACAAGAAGGATTTTAACCATAGCGCATCTGATCATCTAACACACTTTCCCTTTTGTCATGATCGTCCTCAGAGTAGTTGTAGCTACTTGGTTGTAAAGAAGCAGGGCAGAAACAGCTCCGGGCTGCTGCCGAATCGACCGTTTCATGTGCGCAGCTGCAACCCCGCTTTAGTAAAGACCGACCGGGCTGCAGCATCAACACAAGGGTATCAGCTCCTCTCACTGCAGCCTCCTCCAGTCGCTGCTGCGCGTCACTAAACCTGCAGAGCAACGAGAAGACTAAGAGAGATGGACACGCAATGACCTAAAAGGGATTTTAATCGTGGAGACGAGAAAAGGAGGACCGGTGAGTGAGGGGCAAGCTGCGGCCGAGCGGTCTGCAGAGCTGCCTGTAACGGTAGTAGGTTGGCCATGGTCGGACGGGGGCTGTGGATATGTAAGCCCCGGTTTGGAAAGCGGGGCAGGTTTGGTGTTTTGCCTTATCTGTGCGCGGCGATAGCGAGCTTAGCCTTACTGGCTCTGCTCTTTGTGGACTGCATCGAATCATGGGTCACCTCCATGAACATGAACACGTTGGTGGAGCCGCACGCAGCCATCATCCCCCCGCAGAGCGTCCCCCCCACACGACCCGAGGAGTTTCTGCTCATGCCCAGCCCATTAATGTGCCAGCGTGCCAAGCCTTACCTCATCACCATGGTTACCTCGGCTCCTGCCAACCAGAGGGCCCGCCAGGCCATCCGGGACACCTGGGGAGGGGAGGTGGAGGTGAGGGGCCTGCGCGTCATGACCCTCTTCATGGTGGGGGTAGCTTCTGACCCCGGACTGGCCAAGCTGCTGATCGAGGAGGCCAGGGAGAGGGGAGACCTGATTCAGGGGCGTTTTCTGGACACCTACTCCAACCTTACCCTGAAAACCCTGTCCCTGCTGGGGTGGGCCCGCAGGTTCTGCCCCCAGGCCCACTTCATGGCCAAAGTGGATGATGACGTTCTGTTCAATCCCAGTGCCCTCCTGCACTTCCTGAACAGGAGTCGTAACCCTTACGAACAAGGAGACTTATACCTTGGCAGGGTGCATCTCCATGTGGCCCCGGACCGTGACCCAGATGGCAAGCACTACCTCCCTTCAGGGGCCTACCCTCCTTCTGTGTTTCCGGACTATTGCAGTGGCACAGCCTATGTTCTGTCCCGCTCCGCACTGCTCAAGATTTCCCTGGCGGCCTCTGCGTCACCTCTTTCCACACCTCTGCCGCCTGAGGACGTGTTCGTTGGTTTGTGTGCCCGGACAGCTGGAGTGTTGCCCTCACACTGCCCACTCTTCTCCGGGGGCCCAGGGGTGCCGTACGGGCGCTGCTGCTATCAGGCCATGGTGTCCATCCACCATGTCCCACCCAGGGAGATGCTGCACTACTGGGCTGATGTCCACATATCTCAGCCCTGCTCCTGGCTGGGTATTCGGGCTTCTCTGGGGCTCTGCAAGGTCAGGGCGATGCTGGGGACCGCTCTAGGGCTGGAGCAGGGCTTGTGAGGGTGGATAAGAAGGAAAGGAAGAAAATAAAACTGGACTTATTGGGGTTGTGCCTCGATACTGTGAACAGCACATGTGCTCTTCGGGCTGTAAAATGTCTGTATTTTTATAGCTTTATTTTTTTAAACACAATTATGTATTTAATAATTCGTTTTTTTGCAGAAAAGAGGACAACGCAGCTCGTGGTATGTCACAGTAGACTGTTACTATTACTTTCGTTTTTACACTGACACGTTTTTTTAAACGTAAAACGAACAACACCATGGCATGCTGCTTTAGGAAATACATCCGCTTAACTGATCTCAGAACTCAACTGACATCTATGCTGCTACCTCATACAACCCGTGTAGTCTATCACCATGGTAGCCTACTTCTGGTGTACATATTAGTTTAATATGATGCCTAAATGCACGATGCTTTAAACAAAAGTAGCCTACAATAGATATAAAACTAAGGCACCATGAACCTTGCAAAACACCTTAGAAGTAGGCCTACAACACATTAATCAGTCACAACTTAGATGTAGTGCAATCTGCCATTATTTTCACGGTGGAACATAGGGTGTATTCGGACCGATAACAGATACAATTGAACTTCTGTGTGTGAAAGCTCAGTTATTCAGCCAACTCATTTATTAAAATCTAAGAATATAACATTAAACTGATGTGATACACAGCTGTATTCCAGATAACGTTAAATATGCTATGTATTGCCTTTGTTTGTAATAGTGAGATTAAACATTGTAATGTGAAGAAGCGTTTGGACTGAATTCAGTCGGGGTAAAACAAACAGTTCACAATATGTTTGGATAAAGCCTAGAATATTCCACCCACATTGTATCTTATGTTGGCCTGATGTCTTTTTTTTAGAAGAGAAACCCACACACGTTTTAAAACTACAACGAAACCAATGTTAGTGAACCCAAACCAGCAATCATTTCTAACTATGAGGTTGACAGACCGCTACGATGTGATTGAGTCCTCACGACTCCTGACATTACGTTATCTTTTGCCATCCATATTCTTTATTACTTTGATGTTGTATTATTTAAGAGACAAGGCTTGTTCTTTCCTAATCAGTCATCAATGCTAGTGATTGCACAAACTGCTATTCAGATGCCACCTTTTTAGGAAACAAATGGTAATTTAGTAAATAGCCTACTTCAAGTCTAATTGAAATCAAGATCACTTATGCAAGATTTACTGGATATCAATTAGGCCTACATATCCACCTGGGAAACGGTATGGTCGTTTTGGACATCGCTGGGGACCGCTAAGGACTTTATTTCCAACACCGTGCATATAGTCACAGTGATTCTCAAACTTTTTTCAATAATGTTCCCCCTTTGAATTTTTTTTTTAGCCAAGTACCCCC